ATTTTGGTGGGATGGGGAAGACTGGGTTCGGGGTGATAAAGGGATTGCTATAAATCTGGGGTATCCTCGAGGGATTGTTTGGCGACAACAGGCTTGACCTGACAAGCATCTCACTACTCCTTCATCCTTCTCATTTTCTTCCATTATTTTGGCAAAGATGGATAGCGAGTTGAGCTTTCCTCCTGGGACTTCCCGTCTCCTGAGTCAGTGCATCGCCAGCAGTCACCATACTATACTGACGTGTTATACAGGTCGCTCTGAGATTATCCTCGTCCCAACGCCCTCACAAGATCCCAATGATCCCTTGGTCAGTCCCTTCCATCTTCTGCAACTATTACAAACTAACCATCCCCAGAACTGGAGCAAGCGCCGAAAAGCATGGAACTTCACCCTTGTCCTCGCGGTAACAGTAGCATTCTTTTCAGCGTACGCCCCCCTCCCTTCTCCCATCCCCATTATCCCCGTCCAACACTAACGACCCCAGCATCGTCATGCAAATGGTCCTCTGGCAACAAATGATCATCGACATGCACGTAACCTACGACCAACTGAACTACGGCGTCGCTTTCAACTCAGCCGGTCTCGCCCTCGGGAGTTTCCTCTTTATCCCACTGGCTCGGAAATACGGGTCGCGTCCTTGCTATATACTATCTACTGGGCTCATGGCCGCTGTGTCGTGGTGGAGTGGCAGGATGGAGACGGTGGGGGAGATGTATGTTACGAATTTCCTGTCGGGGCTGGCGGCGAGTATCAATGAGACTATTTCGGAGATCACGGTAGGTTGACACAATGTGATCCTTTGTGGTAAGGGTGCTGACTGAGTTAGATTGCGGACTTGTTCTTTGTTCATCAACGAGGCACGGCGAATGGCTTTTATATCATGGCTGTCATGGTAGGCCAATTCGTCTGCCCCTGTATCGTGGGCGTTCAGGCCGCTGCTCAAGACTGGCGATGGACATACTACACCACCGGTATCGTCCTAACCGTCCTATTCCTCCTATTCATCTTCCTATTTGAAGAAACCAAGTTCATCCCTGTCACTATTGGCGAAACACGCAACACCTCAAGCCAAGGCCCACCTTCCCTCAAAAACTCCAAGGATTCCTCAACCCAAGCAGATATCCAAGACTCAGACCTCGGCTCAGAAACCCATCCCCCAAGACTTACATACAAAGAACGAATGCGCTTCATAACACGCACAGACGAACCCCTCTGGCGAAACTATCTCGTCCCCCTCAAGATGTTTCTATTTCCCCACGTTCTCTTCTCAGCGCTTCAAGTAGCTAGTTGCGTCGCCTTTCTCATACTCCTCACATCTTCTATCTCCATGATCTTTTCCGCACCGCCGTATAACTTTAATACAGCGGGTGTAGGGCTCATGTCGCTTGGACCGTTTGTGGGGAACTTCCTGGGAAGTGTTTATGGTGGTGTTTTGGGTGATTGGTTTGTTGTTCATTTGGCGAAGAGAAATAAGGGGATTTTTGAGCCGGAGATGAGATTGTATATTCTTTTGTTGCCGGCGCTGCTTATGGGTGGTGGACTTGTGCTTTTTGGGATATCTGCTGACAAGGCGAGTGCTGAGTGCGATTTTAAAGAGACTGTGAGCTGACTTTGTTATAGGGCTGGCATTGGATATATCCTAGCATTGGCGGTGCAATGTTTGGCTTTGGTATGGCGTCCATGATTGATATTTCATGCACCATCATCATCGACATTTACCAAACCGTACGTCTACCTCACTCACCCTGCAACATAGTAACTAACAATCCGCAGCTCACGGCAGAGGCTTTCATCTCTGTTACGTTTATCCGTAACATTCCTTCCATCGGAGTTCCATTTGGTGTTGTCGACTGGATAGCATCCATCGGCATCTCAAAGCTCTTCATCATCAGTGGATGCGTTGCTACCGCTGTTTGCTTACTATTCATCCCCTGCGCTATTTGGGGCCGACGTGTTCGCGAGAGCACATGGCAGATGTATGAGTCTGTACGGGAGCTGAAGGGAGCAACTCGACACTAAGAATTGGTTTCACGGCAGATCTACAGTTACATATTTTGAACATAGATACACAGCAAGCTCTTGAAATAATTACACTTTCTTGTTTTAGTAACCTTAAGTTTTATCAGAGCGTTTATATCAGCGTTAATCATACCATAGAATTGAAACCTTTAAGAACACCTTTAGAGCTGTCCATCAAGAACACTGTTGGGCCCGACTACCTTTCGAACAACTTGAGTGTAAAACGCTTCTGGCAGGTTCCCATAAGAGCCAGCATCAAAGCCCCCCATTATACAGGTCCTCACCGCTTGGGAGTACTCTCTGCCTGCGAACTGACCTAAGCGTGATACCTGAGTTTCCAGGATCCTCTCCTTAAAGTTGGTTGCAGAGTGTTCGTATCTTGGATCCTTCGTTTCTTCCTCATACATTTCCAACACTGACTTCATAAGACCAATCTCGAGAAGGACTATTCCAACCGAATAGATATCGTGTATGGCGCTAAAGAATGGTCGTCGGGGCTTGGGCTCTCGATTCTCACCTGAGCTGCGCTCGAGCTTGTCCAAGTCATCATCTATTGGCATCCCTTGTACGTCTGGGTGTCGATAGAGGTTCCACTCCAAATCGTTGGCCACATCTTCTGTCATAGCATTGGGGGTGTTTTCACGGCTGAACTCAAAACCAACCAGATATGATTAACTAAGATCATATCCAGTACCTTCAGAACCTGCCCCAGTAGTTTGACCGAAGAATAAGACGTTACTAGCCCGAATACCTTTGTGCAGCCATCCAGCAATGTGCAGGTAAAGAACGGCCTTACAAAGAACAACTGCGGACGAAAATCTATCCTCCAGGAAGTATTCACCGGAACTATTAGGATTCGTTGTGGAAGTTTTAACAATGCTGTCCAGAGTCTTATACTCTGTTGAGGGCACCCGGTATATGAGACCATGGAACTTCACCGCATCAGATGATCCAGCTTTAGTGACGACTCCAAGACAGGGCAGTGTTCTAAGTTCTGCTGGCTTCTCCTCCAACTGAAGCAATCGCGCGAGATCTTGAACGCGCCTTAACATGATTGCATGATAGGTGACGTCGCTTTGCGAAGAATTCGCAGTCGCGCTGTCAGCAACTTTCCACTCCACGAGGATGTCGTGCCATGCCGTATTCGGAGAGGAAGTGTGCTTGAATGTCCCTAATGATCTTGTGGTTGTAACCTCTGGGTTAGGGGCGCGAAGATCTCGTGCTTTTCTGCTGACGTTGTTGCGTCTCAAGTCAATCGCGCGCTCTTCAAGCCTCCTCGTGGCAATTTTGAGTTTCGATATCCCGGTGACAAGGGCGTTGTTAATGATGCTGTGATTCATCTCGCTCAAGAGCGGTATGCTCTGTGAATGCAAAGAGCGATTCATTGCAACAGCCGCAGCTGGGTCCATCTTTGGTGGAGGCAAGAGAACATAAATATCGTTAATCAAAGCAGCTACCTTATCTAGGGCACTCTCGGCCTTGCCATTACGAAGTGCCCACTGAAGTCGTTCGCAGGGCCCAGCCTCTTTCTTGATAGCTTCCATCTTCTGAACCCAGATTTGGCGCTCGTTCGAATCTGGATCTGCAAGCCGAGCGAGGTCGGCAAAAGTAGCCGCTGCTGTGACCGAGTGGGTGCTCGCGGATGCTATGGCTTTGTTGTTGGCGCCGAGTTCATCTAGTGCATGGAGCAGTGTCTGGATAGACAGGAGGGATTGAATGACCTGATCCTGTAGGGTGATAAATTTGGGGTTACAAAAGTATATGGAGGCAGAACCCTTGTCAATTTCCCACTCAGTGGTCCATACTCGAAGCTTGGCCTTTTGCGCATCAAGGCGGACCTTGAAGTTGAGAGCGTCAGCGCCGATTGCTGCGGCTTCGTCCCATAGATCAAGGCCTGTTACAACACCCCCAAATGTCTGCAGAAAAAGGCTTGTAGTGCCTGTAATGATACCGATCTTGTCGGCAGCCATGGCGATGATTATGGTCTTATCGGATTGGGTTCAATGACTGCGACCTCGACTCGTAGAAACGTTGTTGGATGCCTCCGAAATATGCCGAAAGATCATTCGGCTATTTCAAAGACACATTGCGTTGCTTTAGGCATCAATGCATCCTGGCTTACTTAGTATGATTGTGATTGGGATTGTGATTGTATGTAACTTGGGCCTCCATGGCTTGAAAGACCGGCCTATTATTGGATCGTCTTATTGGTCTAAGCCAGTTTCGCCGCAGTTCAAGTCAGCCGCAACTGGCCATCGCCGATTTGTTTTGGCACACTGTTACTTCACCTTCTCACTAGACTTGTTCTCAATTCAAGACTCTCCTTTCTAATTTCCCTTTGACGGATTCATTTCGCGCCCAAAATCTCTCATGGCTAGCTCTCTAGCATTGTCTTCCAGGGGGCTCAGCTCTCAGATGGACGCGACATATCGCCACTACTACCTAGTATATTTTGCTGCACTGATTACCCGAATGTTCAATGGACCGAGCCTGGGTCTAACGCTGCTTGGGGTGCTGACCAACGAGAGGAGCAGGATTCTCCCCTCAGTTTCTTCCCAAGGATCATTCTTTACTATCAAAATCATCGGATCAGAACACTTGCTTCAGTCTCGCTATCCACCTCAAATAGACCTGAAATTTCCCGAGGGTCTGCCCCAGCTTGTTGCGCTCAAGATACCCAATATACTCGATAAATCCCCAGTCGCCAGCACGCAAAGACTCTGGAGCTCAATATTCACGGAGCTACAAATTTTGAAACACGAATCTATTTCATCACACAATTCTATTGTCAACCTACTGGGGGTCTCGTGGCGAACAACCACCAAAGGCGGCTCTGTCCTGCCTGTTCTTGTCCTAGAAGCGGCTCAACGAGGCGATCTGGCGACATTCCTCAAAGAAAGCACAAGCTTGACGATCCAAAAGTCATTCTGTCTGTCCATCGACATAGCGGCCGGAGTGCAAGCCCTACATGAAATAGGCATAATTCATGCAGATCTGAAGCCTCAAAACATTCTGATCTTTGAAGACAACGATCGGAAGTTGGCGGCTAAAGTTGCAGACTTCGGCAGTGCTGTGTTTCTTAACGATGTAAGGGGGGAAGTACAGCTCAATGCAGGAACTTCACTATGGCAAGCTCCCGAGTGCTATCGGCCCGTTCAAAAGTCAGAACTTATCAAGACTGATATCTATTCAGTTGCATTGGTTATTGCAAACCTGATGACTGGCAACTATGTGGTAGAACTTCTTCAACAGTCAGAGCATCAAACCCAACAAAGCCTCGAACTGAGTGAACCGATCAGGGCTGCCATCGGCAGCAGGGTCGGGGACATAATATTTGAATCAGGCATCGAGCTGGAAAACATGGAGTTTGAGATTTCTGCCAGAGCTGCTACACTTATATACTGGGCGACAAACATTCCATCTCGAAGGATTCCTCAAGTGAAGAAGCTTCACGAAATGCTTCGAGGGATATTAAACCATATACTACAATTTCAGATCTCAACTGTATGCACTTCCGACCTCTTGAAGGCTGATTTAGACTCACAAGAGTTTGATATCTTACTCAAACCAGGTAAGTTATCCGCAGGCAAATCAATACGTCGACTCTTGGTATAATACGTGCTGTAATGCTGAAATTTAAAATGACAAAGACTTTGGCAATCTTTCAGATGAGGACATGATACATACCTTTAAATATTCTCGGCTGAAGACGCAACAAGAAACCTCGCAACGAGGTTCCGATATCTCACCGAAGTACATTGAAACGACGCTGTGTCGATGGTAAGCCGAAACCTTTCCCAAAAATACGCCATTAGACTTTTATCGAAGCGTCAATCACGGATTCCAGCTAATCAGCAGTTTCATAGGCTAAATCAACGCAGGTCTGGTCGCGTAAAGCCAATAGTGAGCGACAACAAGTCCATGTTCAAGGTAGTCATAGCGGCCAGCAATTCTCCTGACCAATACTAAAGGTTACGCAGGCGTCAAAGTGGCTCGGGACATTGCGTATGATGCCACCCACTGTCGTTAAAGAGATTGCGAAGCAGTTTTATAGCCTGGCGTATGCATCGTCCGAGGATATAGAGACTCGTCAGAAAGCCGCCATGGAATATGCAATCATGGTATTCTGGGATCCTCAGTTTCATCATGGACATGAAGGCGCAGTGGAGAGTGCATTGGACGCTGTATACCTTTCTGCTGAGCTCGGAAACCCGGAAGCGCAGGGTATCGCGATATGGCTATTTGAATCATTTGATCGCAGTTTACCACCAGAACATACCTACGGGAAGACGATTCAGTGGCTGTCGACTGCCTTGAAGTATGGGAGCGAGACTTCACTTCGACATCTCAGAGTGGTATCTCCAAACACTTATCAGACAGCTAGGCAACGGCTACGAACTCATCGTGGGGGAATAGGCAGTGACGGAGACTTGTCTGACTTTTACGAATTCATCGATACTGGATTTGGCATGGCGATGAGTATCCTCAGTCATGGCGGACGCTCCCCCGATCTCGAGGTGGCAGTCTATCAGAGTGCCGTTTTATCTGACAGAGTTGATCTTATGCGTCAAGTCCTTCAAGTCTGCACCAAAGGGGCGTGCTTCGAGTTTAAATTGGGCGAGTCAGCACTGCTGTATGCTTGTCGTGCTGGCTACGAGCGAATGTCACACTTCCTTTTGGATAATGGAGCGGATCCGTCGAAAGCAAGTGACGAAGGCGCCACTCCTCTACATTTTCTGAGTTCCTTCGATGATTCCTGCATGGAAGATATAGCAAAGAAGCTGCTTAGCCGTGGCGCTTTGTTGGAAGCCCGCACCACCAGTGCAGGCTCTCATTGTATCGTGCTGGACTCGACTTTTGGCAAGGTAAACGGAACGCCCCTCACATGGGCCGTTGCTGCCAACAATCAAACAGCCGTCTCTGTCCTCATTGCTCTCGGTGCAGATCCTTTTGACAAATCATCCCAGAGAGCAGCTGTCGGTGATCGTTGGGGTACATTGCACCATGTTACGCCTGTCATGTACGCCGCCATGACCCACCATTGGGAAATGCTCGCTCTTTTGCTACCCAAGCGCTCTACTGGATGGGCTTCTCGGTTCAAATATCTTTTCCATAGAGGATCCAGATGGGAGTTGAATCACGGGTCCAGGCCAATCGGCCCCTGGGGTGACCGAGACTATACAACCCCTTTAGAGAGATGTGTACGATACTCGACACCAGACTTCCTCCCACGCGTCCTTTTGCATGGCAAAGAGCACGAAGAAGCCTTTCGCAAAACCTTCGAAGTACTCCTCAGTGCGGGATGCGATCCTTGCAAATCAACCAAAAGACGCCATAGTCTCTTCGTTGCAGCCATCCAATGGGGCCGGCCATTCGTAGTTCGGCATCTGATGGAGTGGCAGGCCGGCTGTCTCAGACCAAACAATAAAGAATGGCTAAATTATCTGTTGGCGGCCGTTACTTTGCAAGACACTGTAACTTGCGACGTTCTGCTTGAATTCGACAAGTTCTACAGTGTCCCCGAGAGTCAATGGGCTACGTTCTTTCATAGCATTGTACAGACAACTGATGACCCTGACATTTTGGGCCGCTTCAAGCATCACTTGGCAAGCAGTAGTGACTACGGACCAGTCGTAACTCAGGCTCTTCTTGATGGCAACTTTGCATCCGCAAGATGGGTGTATACGAATGCCAGATGCGATATGGAAAAGCCTCACCTGGACGGGACGACGTGCCTTGGCAAGCTTTTACTAAAGTCAAAGACACATGGACTCGCTTAAATTGCTATACATGAGCTTTTGGAGTTTTCTGAATTGCCGGGCCAGCTTTTCGAGAATGTCTTTGAGCTGGGAGGCTCGCTCTTTACTGCACTTCATTTAGCTGCGTTTCACGTGGAGTACCTGAAAGGATCTCAAATGGCAGGTTCCGTCTTCCAAACGCTGCTCGAGTTCTATAACGAGCCCGGGCATTTAAACTTCAAGATCAAGGCTGGGAACCATAAAGATTACACACCACTTCATATTGCAATCAAAATGTGCAATATCGCCGCCGTTAAGCTTCTACTCGCAGAAGAGGACGTCCTCATCAATGAGACTGGCCCAGATAATACAACGGCAATGGATCTTGCACTGTATAACTTTAGAAACCAAGATAATGCGCTGCATACATGGAAGGTTGATACTCATAAACGCCGAGGTTCTGACATCGATCACTATCTACAAGCTCAGTTGATTTATAAGGAGCTGAGAGACGCCGACGGAAGGTCTAACAAGATCTATGCCGCGGTAGTACGAACAGATGAGGATAACTATTCGATAATGCACAGCGGCGATCCAGACATATCACTCATTGTGTTTAATCGTAAGTAGGAACACTGCGGAGATTCAGCCACGGCATCTAGCAGATAACTTGCTCTAGTTGAGATTGACTGACAACTTATAGCGATGTCTTTATTAGTGAGGGGGTCAAATTCACTGTTAGCAGAATTATGGGAGACGCATCAGTTCTTTAAGGCAGTGCGCGACCTTAAGGTAGATCACTGCTTCTTTATTGAGAACGAGGGGCAAAGCGTATATAGACTGTTATTTGAATTCCTTGTATTATAAGACTAAGTCTCTCTTTAAAGGAACTTAATATAATTTTAATTGTATTAATTTATACTATATATAACTTTATT